TGAATCCGACTTGCTTAGCTAACTGCTTGCAAGGGCATAATCGAGGCGTGGCCGGATCATGTTCCGACGCGAGCAGGGCAAGGGATCCCCAACAGGGGGAGGTCACATTTGGTCGCGGTAGGGGAGGGAATTGTATTCGCCATGGAAAACATTTTTCTCTTTTTCCGTTCCCGGCTACATTCCCCCCACTGGGCGCGGCGCGACAATTTACTCTTTCTGAACTACTAACTTTCTGCTGGTATTTCAACTACAATTTTTTTCTGTCGCAAGGTGACAGACGACCGTGGAAAGAGGATGGCCGTGGGAAGAGGTCGAACCGGAGGAAAACTTTCCGGGGGCAGGGAAGTCGTATTTAGCAAAAATGTTTCCCAAATGCTGTTTGCTCACCATACGGCATGCTGTTCGCTAATGTATGTAGTCGTCCTTGAGGATTCCGCTTCATCATGGAACAAGCGTCGAGCGACTGGCCTTAATATGGTCTATGGTTGAATCTTCAGATTACCGGGAATGAAATCATAACGCTAGTAGGGCAACCTACGAAGGTAACGTGATATCGACTGAAAATCAGCGCTGCCACGCATTCCAGGCCAGATTCAACAGCCAATCGCTGTAGAGTGTGAGCGTCTGCGTTTGAAAGACTTTCGATTGTGATTTGCTTGAGAAGCGACATCGCCAACTGCAATAAGATTGTTGCATGGGGATACACTTCCACATACAATTGTAGTTGTACAGTCTGGTTCGCTGCGCATGATGGGGCGTGTCAGTGGTGTTGGGTTTGGCGCGCCGCCAGCTCGTTGTCCACCAGTTGTTGAAGCGGGTATGCGACAACAGCCACCGTTACAAACGGCGCTCTTTCGGCATGACGAACGAAAAAAAATGGGCCGCGCCATACCCGTCCTCCCTTGACACGCCCCATCATTCGCAACGAACAAGACTGTATGCAGCGTCAAACGGATTGAGCGTTTGAATATTAACTAAGTTCGCGTGAAAATAAATTTTTGAACTCTACAACAAGTTATTTTTGCCATATTTTCACGGCTGAGAAACTGTGAATTAACTCACATCACGATGTTGATTTTCTGCAGTCCATAAGATGATCGCCCGAGCAACACTGAACGCGTTACCCGTCCCCGCCAAATTATTCATGGCAATCTGAACAGAAAAGAGAACGACAATCTTGCAAAGCGAGTTTTCAGCAAAAAGCTGCTGCATACTTCACTCTTATACGGAAAGGAGCAGGAGCAGGATTTGGCTAGCGAGTCTGTTTGAGAGAAAGGTTTGAGGAAGGCTTCTGGTGCGACTAACTAATTCTGTCTTGTCAAACATTCCAGGGCAGGGTACAGCACTGCTGTGTGAAACAGAAAGGGGGGGGTCTTACCCTTCCGCCGGGGAGGAGGGTCGTTTTTGGTCGTTAGGGAGAGAGGGGGTGTCGTATGTGCGTTGAGAGGAATTCGCTGTGTTGGGAAAAAATTTCGTGCTTGTTCACTTTTAGCGTGCCTGTTTTATGTGTAGAATGTGCCCCTCCCCAGGTGGGGTGGGGGTCGTACTGACACCCTCTCTCGGAGGGAGTTGTACCTACACTACCACTTCCCACATCACGATGCTGTACCCTGCTCCCGGGGGCATACACAGTCGCGGCGCCTTTCCTTTTTGCTAGTATGAAAAACATTTTTCCTTACCTTCATTACTCTCTTGAATATCGATGGTAGCAAGCCAACAAAGGGCCTCATTTGCGAAACAGCAGCGATTTGTGCGGCCGATGCCTGAATATTCCAGCTTCAATCCTTGTATGACAATTAGAAACTTTGCGCAAGTCCGCTCAGGGTGCAAGAGTAATTTGAACCTCCCAGTCGACATGTTGGGCAATTTTTTCACACGTTTTTTTGTAGCTGGGGAAAAATGGTCGTATTTCGCCACAAAATTAATTTCCCCAAGCCGTGAGAAATTTTTGCGGTTGATGACTTTTCAAGTTTTTTTCTCGACTCCTCCTCTCCTCCCACTTAGTTGCCACACCACAGAGCTATGACTAAACTACTACTTTTCTTGATAGCGGTTGCATGCGTGGGTTGTTGATGCTTCTCGCTTCAGTGCGCTGTGAGCCCCTAGCCCCACCTCTCCCTCTCAACAGGTAAGGTTTTGGAACGCGTACGTATGCTGCGTTAGCGTGCAGGCCTGGTTTTCGAAAAATATGTGATAGCTCACCGTAAGCAACTGTTGCTTGGTTTCCGGGGTAAAGTTGTCTATATGATAGAGGAGAATCACCAAAGCTTCAGGGTCGTCTGAAATGTGATTGCATTCTTCATTCTGCAATAATGTGTATAAGGGGTACGCGACATTTAGTAGCCGCGTCGTGCGAATTTTTCGCTTGCCGCGGAATGTTGCGCGACGCACTGGTCACTGTATACTTCCGCTTGTATCGTAACATTCGGCTCTCTAAGTACAAGCGGTTAACTTTTCACTTTATGTTGAAGCCCTCTTCAGGATTCAAGGGATGTTTAGAGGGGTTTTTATCAGCTATCAATGCTTGGAGCCCGCTTCGGGTACACTACTTCACATACGCTGCTCATTGGTCTGCTGTTTGCTAGCATACCACGACGTCTAGATGGGCATGTCCATAGGGGCGAAGCATGTTTATGACACGCGCCCTCGACACGCCGCGGCGGCTGCGTAATTGTTACAGTTGCCGATTCAGGCAAGAAAGGAGAAAATCCTTGCCCTGTGCCCTGTTGTCTCTTATGCACAAACTGTCTACATTTTTCGTTTGAACCGGCAACAGCTCACGTCTGTGGTACCCACACCAAGTCCGTGAACTTCCTTCCCCAGGCGCCGCGATATGGAATGTGAGTATCAGACCATTTAACAATTCGTTGGTTATCAAGCCTTTGGCTGGCCGAATCTGCAGTTTACCTTCGTATTTCAGTACTGCTTGCTCTAGAGCTTCCACCATGTCGTACATCTCTAATGCGAAAGCAGCAGCTAATGCATCAGTGAGCTGAAAACCTGCGGATATTTACAAATACAACGGGAGATGGTGTTAAGATGTTTTAGCGCTATTCGGCTCAGAGGGGGCGTTCTGCACTGCTAATATCTCTTTCGTTAGTTCTTTGTAAATGACAGGTCTCACTCTGGTCGAACCTGCAAATTCCTGCGAAGCGGCGGATCGCACGAGTGAGCGCTACTCCGGTCACAGAATTCACAGGTCTTTCCGATGTGACCTGTACTAGCTTCGCTGAATACCATCTGGTGCCCCCACTTAGCCGAATTGTGCCGATATTTCTTTTTCAAATGATTAATTGAAGAGTAGACAAACATGTTCTGTAGAGAACGTGATTCGTGTTCCATACAACCATTCGATAGCCATATTAAGACCAACTGGAGTGAAGTACTTTTGATCCATTTTCAAATGATCCAAATGCATCATGGTGCGAGCGCCTTAAACCGAAACACGAGATCTTCCAATCGATGGTAAGCAGCTTGATATTTATTGATTGTTCATTCACCTCCGAGGACAGTCCTTTCCACAAACGAGGTGGATGGGCCCGCCGCTGCATTAGCGTGCCGGTTTCTCCGCTCAGAAGTGCGCGAGGCTGGAGGCATGGACGGTAGTGGTGCTCGGGTGCCGTCTCCCACTAGGCTCGCGATATCTTCGAGGTGCAGCACTTTATGGACGCCACAAACCTTTGGCGTACACGTAGTGAGAGGTGAAGAGCAACCAGAATTGAGAGGGTGCAGACAAGTAGCGCGTTT